GGGGGGGGGGAGGAAAGAATCGGAACAGAGAGTTTCCGCTGAGAATTTCAAGTGAGCCAGCGCAGCAGTGCTTGAAATGAGAGGAAGGGTATCACTGAAGGTGAGGATGTTCAAGAAAGTCTTTGGAGGGGTATGAACGTCCAGATGCTAATACATATCCACGTACAGAAAAGAGAGGGGCGTAAATCCGAATAAGTCTCGACTGGAGGTAAAACTTCAACAACCTTTAGTATGCGGCAATTTAAGGGGAACAGAATATAGTCATGTTAAGTGAAGATGGGTCTTGAAAGAAGATGCCCACCCCTGAGTAAGATGCAGTGAATTACTTAGCACGGCTCTTTGAGCTTTAAACTCACCGCCATCGAGGTACTGTTGAGCCACGGGGACCCTGAACAGGGTTCCAACACTGTGCATCTTTACAGGAGGCAGACAGCCTCATTTTTCTCCTGAGTAGCAGGTGCGATGGCCCAGTGCCTGACCCCATCCAGCTATTGTCTCCCTTTGTGTGCTATATTAAAAATGTAGCCTGTGTGTGCCTGTTACTATCGTCCTATTTTGGAGTGAGTTCTCTATTACGTTAATGAGGCTGGATTAAGGTAAGATCTTGAGCCATTGTCTTAAGAAAGGTCGTGACTCAATTCACCACCTTAATTTCCTTTACAGTATGATCTGCAGCCAGCCAATCTATATGAATGCTCTTGTTCTCTCTCTTACTGTAAATTCTCTCTTACTGTAAATCCTACACCTGGCTTGCTATTCTCTGATCTTGGAACTTGAGCCAGCAGCCTACCTGCTCTGACCTAATTTGCCAACTTCCACAACCTTATGAGTCATGAGTCTGTTGTGTGATCTGCTGAGCTGGGGTCATCAACTCCTGCAACCACCTGAGAAGAATCCTCCTGATGTCTGACCTATGAATTTGGGATTTTCCAGCCTCCACAACTGTGTGAGCCATTTCTTTGGTTGTTCAGGAGTTCTGTGAAATATTGAGTACAGAAATAATAAATAAAATATAAAATAAAAAAAAGAAATATTGAGTACAGAGTGGATTACAGAGTCCAAATACATGATGGATAATATTGAAGGAAAGGGTGGTAGTTAAGGTTAGAAATGATGAAGTGATACCATACTTTGCAAAAAGTGGAAATTTGAGCCATCTTTAACCGCTTCACAGGGACCAGCCTTGTGCTGATCCTTCTAAGTAAATCATTCACGCACCAACGTTTTAATTATTCCAACAATTAGAGCCTTGAATGGGAGAAGTTCACTGGGAAAATGAAGTGAATACAATAGTAACACAATAAACTAGAAGAAAAACTAGAATTAGTGTAGGGACTAACAACTGAATTCGGTCCTTTGAAAGACCATCCAAAAATAAATAAATAAAATTTTAAATAAATAAAAAGAAAGACCATCCTTGGCATTTTCAAGCAACCAGGCTGCCTCTGCTTTCAAAATAGGCAACAGTTTAGAAAGTGTAAAACAGCGTGGGCTACACAAATATATCTGGAAAATAACCCCAAGAAGCGAGGGGGCAGACCATAAGCAATCCTACATATTTGTTTTTTCTTTTTTTCTTTTTTTTTACTGTCACTTTTTTAATATCTCCTTTTTGTAAACTAGGCTGGTGTGTCAGTTTAGAGTGCTGATGCTTTGCTAAAACATGAGCCTGAATCTCGCCCGAGGAAACCCAGACCACTGTGGAATAGATAGGAAGTCAGATATTCAGAGCTTGTTGACCGAATGGGTAAATTCAACAGTGTCGCCTGTTAAATAAAGGTAAATGTACAACAACTCCGAGTCTCTCATCTCCCATGCATTCCAAGGGGAGCGGAGGTTCCCGCAGATCCTGAACTATGTGCACCAGCACGCTGCCCCTACCAGGGGCAGCTCCCTGCAGACTAGTACTGGGGAGTTTCTTGCTTGCTTGCTTTTTGACTTTTAGGTCTTTATTCTCTTCTTTGCATTTAGAAGGAACGATTAGGGTTTCTTTGTATCACACTGTACTTTTCCTTCATGGTTTGTGTTTTGGTTGGTTGGTTTATTGGCAAGCATCAATGCCGCATTACCCAGCGCTCCCTGCCTTCATCGTGCCGCCGAGAGACCACTAGAGAGCACGGCGTTGTCTGCGCCTGGCTGTGACTGCTCCTTCACCACAGGGGAGAAGTACGGGTGCTCCATGGCCTCTTTGGCAGTCAGTCGCTGTTGTTGATGGTCGTATCGCAGAAGCTTGTCCAGAAGGTCTAGGGCCTCCGGGCTGACCAGGTGTCTGTTCTCACTATGGATAAAGTTTTCCCAGCGTTTCCGAGAGTGTTGTCCCAGGATGTCGTTGAAGTGTGGGTCCAGGTCTATGTGGTACTTCTTCAGATACCCATACAGCTCCTCTGTACCCAGAACCTTGGCAATGCGGACAAGCTGGTCATAGTTGTCCTGTCCATGGAAGAAGGGTTCCTTTCGGAAGATCATGCTTGCTAACATACAGCCCAAACTCCACATATCCAAGCTACAGTCATACATCTGATAGTCCACAAGGAGCTCAGGCCCCTTGAAGTACCTCGAGGCCACCCGGACATTGTACTCCTGCGCGGGATGGTAGTACTCGGCCAGACCCCAATCTATCAGTCGCAACTTTTTCTGCTGGTGATCTATCATGACATTGTGGGGCTTCACATCCCTGTGCACGATCCCCTTGCTGTGGCAGTAATCCAGAGCTTTAAGTAGTTCATACCTATAAAACCGGGTATCAAAGTCTGTCAGGATCTGGTAGAGTTGCTTAAAATCTGTATTATTGATATATTCAAATACCAAAGCTGGGGTCTTTGACACAGGGTCCTTTACAGTGTCAATCAGCTTAATGATATTTGTTCCACCACGAAGGTTCTCCAGAATCTTAACCTCTCGTTTTATCTTCTTTTTCTTCACTGGCTTGAGGATTGTCACAACCACTCTCTCATTGTTGGTGATGTTAATGGCCTCAAATACTTCACTATACTTGGCCCGACCAAGTTTTCGAACCAGTTGGTAATCATCCTGATTACCCCAGCTCGGGACGTGCGACTCATAGTCCCAGGAATCGCGGCTCCTCAGGCTGGTCACCTCGGCG